ATCTCTTGACCTAACTGGTTTCCACCTCATCTCCATATACCCATGCCATATCTACCATCTCTATGCAAACTTCGTCAATATCCATCCACCTTCTTAGCTCTGAATAGGGCCCATTGTACTGTCTTTACACCCTGGTTATGGCCTTGAGTACAGATATGTTCAATTAAGAGTTTAGCTATTAGTCACAATGGACTTACCACACAGCAGCAGGTGAAGTTTGTGTCCATCTCAGGTTAACTTCTCAGTTGGCTGGTTGGTGTGTTGATGATGCCACTTGGTGATGGTAGGAAGTATTCTTCCTAGTGTCTACAGTGTCATACCTTCTGGTCCACTGTCTCAGGAAGATGTTGCATCATGTCACCTGCAAATGGGGATTCTTTCTTCAGTATGTTAATAATAAAGAATGGCAAAATAACTCTATTCACGGACGCAGTTGACGGTTCTAAAAGACAAGAATAAACTCTGCCACATTCAGAAAGCAAGAAAGATGAAAGGTGTGTGTAAATGCATGCTGCTCTACAGTGTACTGCCTATGCTCTGTGTGGAGGCCTTCATGCGACTGAGCACACAGTGATATCTCAATAGTTTATTACAATTGGTGTATAATTTCCTTGAGGATGAGAGATTTCTGCCATTTGTGACGACTTTCTCAAACCTGAAACTCCTTTCCCCAGAACCTTCGTTACCGGGGAAAAGTTTCAGGTGTCTAAACTAAACATCCTGCATGACAGACACTTTACCACTCCCCAGAATGTTTAAAAGCCAGAAGCTTCGAGCCTGAACTATCGAATCCATTAATGCAGTTCTAATTTGCTAGAAACTCTATTTCTTTACCATAATAATCCAAAGTAGTCAGTATATTCAAAAGCCAATAGGACTTCCGGGTTTGAAAGATCCCAGCTAACGGAGGTAAAATTACTGTTGGTCAATCTTGTACAGTAAAGGAAATTAGTATAAACCTCGATTATTGGAGCGTTCTTCACCTATTCAACATCCAATCGAATTGTATTCTGTAGTATTTTGTATAACCATAAGCTGACACATTACGTTACAAGATGTTCTAATATTTGATTATTAGCCGATTTAGCCAAATTGTTAGTCATCTTGTTAGTTTTTTGCAGTTAATTCATTAACACAACAAAGTGTTGATTTTTTTACAACTATTAAGCATTTTCCCATGAGTGAGGTGGGAATGGTTCTAGAGACTGTCATTTAATGACAGGTATGTGAGCGATCATATATAATTTGTATAAAGGCATTCCGTTGCCTCTGGAGGATTCAATAATTCATGAGAGATGTCTGCTTCAGTTTAATGTTGAATTGTTGATTAAAACTAATGCTTAGATTTGTGGGTGTATGCTGTTAAAACAAGTGTTAATGTTATTGATTTGTTGCCTGAAAATATTTCTGCATCCATAAAGCACAACAATTTAATATTACATGTTAAAAAACCGGATCATCAGTTTCATAAGATGTTATTATCTTTCAAAATAAATAAGATGTAACAATGCTGCTACCTATATAGTAGAATGTCTATTTGTGCCATTCAATTTAAGATTGTTGACTTCAAAATGCATAATTCTGCTACTCAGACAATGTTTTAAATTAAAGTTTAATCTGGCTTTGTAATTTAGGCCAATCTGAAGATTACATTTTTAAAATTTGTATCTACTGTTTCTCTGCTAGCATTTATGGTTAACGTGGTCCATGTAAGTACAGCTGTACTCACATGTACTAATGTACTAAATGATTTTAAAATATTTGTCTAGTGCAAAACAATAGCATGTTTATAGTTCAAATTAATCACTATCTTATAAGAATCTCAGCAATGTAAATTATATTCTCCCCAGTCACTTGCAGGACACACTTATAAACAAAAATAAAAAACTCAATCCAAGGATATAAATAAACAACAAATACTTCGCCTCAAGACAGTGGAAGGGTTGGGTTGTGTGTTTCACTAACTCTGACCCTTTAGCAACAGGGTGCCAAGGGTCAGTCTAAGAGACAATGTACCATCCCAGCTAGACATATGTTCATTATCTCAAAGTACCTTTTTGCCTTTTATGCTTCCCAATATTTTTCTCCAAACATTCTCTGTTGAAATCAAATCATAATCAGTGGGCAAAGAGGATAAAGTATACCTACAGCAGAGGTGGTTGTGTGGTGCACTAAATCAAAAATATTAGGTTTAGCCAGATGCACTATTGATACACTACCCACTGCTTCTGGTTAATTACTATAACCTCCACATACAGAACACACACCCATCGTGCAGGTGAGATCGACGAGTTCAAAAAGATAAGTATAAGGTGATATGTCGAAGGTTGGTGGCGTATCCTCATAACCCCTCCACTAGGTGTTGCCACATGGCTGACAATCAGGCCAACATACGGCCGGGAAATAACTTGCTTTCCCAACACCTATCGCTACTGGTCTCAAATTGTTCACCCACAGTATGCAACTGTATACTTTTTTTGTTGCGAAATATATAATGGGTAGAAAAATTTATATATACTGAGAGGACATAAAGAGACACACAAACAGTAAGATATAAAAAAAGACAGACAGAAACACAAAATGACTGGAGGATGCTCAACTTGTCTTAAGAGAGTTTGACAGGCACAAAGATTTCCCCCTATAGGTTATGAGAGCTGCCCTTTTGCCTCTCCTTGGCACAGGTGGAGGCAGTGTTGGTAGGTACCTTGTCTATAGGCTCCACTTGGTCATTTTCAGCTGTTATGGTGCACTTTAATTTTTTCAAAGTTTCTGCTGTAAATATCTGTAAATGTAAAAAACAATTATATTTACTAAAAAGCACCAAGGAAGACAATGCTAAATTAGGTCAGGTTAGCATTAGGCGTTCAATATAGTAATCCAGAAGGAAATAAGCTACCTAATCTTTCGGTGTTATCCATTCTTTCATCTGAGGTTCTAATTCATGGCCAGTAATGAACGTCAATGTAATTTTCAAAAGGAAAATTAGCCAGGTGACATAAACAGAGGGCAATGTTTAAGCATTCAATTTACATATTGAAGTAAAATATTAGAGGTTGAATATCAAAGTTACGACTATTTTGTAAAGGTATTAATGTAGAAAAAAGTTCGCCCAATTTCGATAATTCCTTCTGTGTAGCCATTGTCTACACCTTTACCTATTTTATTTAAAGTTTGTGGATTAATGGTACAGAACTTCTATACAGGCTGTCAATAGCGAA